CCGGGAGCGGCCACTGCAGTCCAGTGTGGGCGACAGCCTGAGACTCCAACTCAAAAAAAAAGAAAAAAAGAAAAGAAAAGAAAGAGCAGGATTTGTCTGGAGATATCAATAATTATTTGGTGCAAGAGAAAAAGCCATGCCTAGGTTGGGGTGCAATATCAAAGAGTCTTTTCTACTGTTTTTAGGTAATTTGAATTTTGTTAGGTAATAGGACACTGCTAAATAGGTATATGTTTTATAACTTGGGCTTCACAGCAAAATTTAAATTTTTTAAATAAATTGTAGTAAAATATATGCAACATAAGATGTATATTCTTGGCTATTTTTAAGTATACAATTCAGTCTTGTGAAGCTTATTATTAACTATTGTTGTGCAGCTGTTGCCAGAACTTTCCACCGTCCCAAACGGGAACTCTGTACCCACTAAACAATAGCTCCCTGTTTCTTTCTTCCCCTAGTCCCTGGCAACCACCTTTCTACTTTCTGCCTCTATGAATCTGACTATTCTAGACTTCACGTAAGTGGAATCATACATATTTGCCTCTTTGTGCACTGAAGCTCTTAAGCAAAGGAAATGACACCATCAGATCAGTTTCAGAAAGATAAATGACTGCAGGATCTTAGAATTTAAAGCATAGCACCGCTTGCTGAAGTGTTTCAGTGGCAACTCAGTGTAATCTGAATGAAATCCAAATGCCTCCTTCATACCAAGGTCAATAAGATTTTGCATAATTTGGCCCCTGCCTATGTCTCCGCCCCCAACCACTCCTACCTTCCTGCCACTTGCTCAGGTCACTCTGCTGTCCTTCTTGTTCTTCTCATGCAAACTCTTTCTTGCCTTTGAAGCCCTTGCCCTGCTTGAAATATCTTCCTTTATCATTCATCAGATCCTTCCTGAGCATTCCATATATGCCAGGCTCCTGGCCCTGGGCATATCTATAGCAGTGAACAAAACAGACAAAATTCCCGGCCCTCATGGGGATGGCGTTGCCTTGGGAGATTCTTCTAGCAACTTTTGACATGGCTGATACATCTACTCTGGCAAGATAGCTCAAGGAAGGCCTCTCTGGGGTCCCAGCTGACTGGCCAGGGTCTCTGAATGGGATGGGGGGGAGTGGAACCTTGGGGGCAGAGCTGCCCGGCAAGGGGTGATTTCAGTGGGTGAGCCCAGAATTGAAGAGGGCCTGGGCAGTGGGGCCACAGATGTCAACACATGGAGGAAGTAGAATGACGTCACAGAATGAGGCAACCAACTGAATGATACAAAGGTTTCCAGCTGATGGTGGATGATATAATGGACACTTGACACATATGTATTAAATTGGTCCAATTATCCCTCTTTGACTTGGTTCAATTTCAGTGTTCCATGTACCACCAGCTATGAGATGCAGAAGTATGAATAACTCTCTTACAGGACTTTGGTGAGGGTTGAGGGTTATACACATAAACCTCTAACAACTCTGGCAAGCACTGAGTGCTCAGGAAATGATAGCTATAAGGGTGATGTGACACACAGCAACAGCTCAGCAAAACATGTCCCGTCTGTCTGTGCCCTTAGATCGTGAGGACCATGAGTGGAGGGAAGGCTTGTCATCAGACTCCAAATGTCCAACACCAAATACAATCCTTGTTTGTTAAGTAAATTCACATGAATAAAAGCACAGCTAGGTGAATGGAGTGGGCCTTATCCCAGGGCGCTTATCCCTCCCTTGCATAAATAGCAAATCAAATGTTTTCTCATCTCCCCACCTTGCCTGTTCTTCCCAATCTGTCCCCTCCTCCGAATCCCCTGAGCTCCTCTTTTTATTCAAACTCCTCTCTGTTTTCCTCTCGCCATCCAGTGAAAAACCACTGGTATTAGGAGACTGCATCAGGGTGACCTTGACCAAGTCACTTAACTTCTCTGAGTCTCAGTTTTCTCATCTGTAGGATGGGCTGTGTGGGACTGACTGTTTTCTGTAAGCCTCTCCCACCTCTATAACTCATGAGTTCGGTCTGTCTTTCCTCTTTTCGGGCTATTTCTTCCTCTTCTTTCACCAGTTCCCTCTGCCCTCCCCTCTCCTTGAAATGACCATAAACTTGGACGATAATATATTTTACTTGCCATTTTATCTGAAGTTTAAGCTCCCTATTGTTAACTTTTAAAATAGCAATTACTACCACATGATGCATTTGTATTCCCTCTTTCTCGATTACTTCACCAATATTTATCAGTATCGACTTTATAACATGCTAAGAACAAATCAGGGAATAAGAGAAACTGATCCCTCCCCTTATGAGTCAATCACAAAAACTTTGGAAACCCAGCAGTTGGACTCTTGTACATAGAGATTATCTGCACAACGGCTGTGTTCTTTGTATCACATGTAGATAAAAACCCAACAGACTCATTGTTTTGTTCAATATAAAATTTAGCAGTAACTTTGAGCCTCTCCCTTCCCCTACTGCATCAAAATATTATTTGGTGAAATTGACCTGTTGCGTTGCATTCGTTTTGGTTACATCTTCTAGTCTTAACACATAGATGTGAGATCTTTGCTTCTTACATCATCACTGTACTCATCAGGAACCTGTATTGTTTTTAGGAAGGCGAGGTGATATATACAGACTGGAAACTGGAAAGAGACCCTGAAACTGGCCGATATACGAGTAAGTTGTGTGGATTGATCTATTATTAATAAGGTGTTCCTTTTAATCTCAACTACTAGGCTGGAAGAAGAATTTCCTCTTTCTTTCTTTTTTTTTTGAGTCAGAGTCTCATTCTTCCGCCCAGGCTGGAGTGCAGTGACACGCTCATGGCCACTGCAGCCTCAACCTCTAGGCTCAGGTGATCCTTCCACTTCAGCCTTTCAAGTAACTGGAATGACAGGTGCATGCCACCATGTCCAGCTAATTTTTTGATATATTGTAGAGACAAGGTCTTGCCATGTTGCCCAGGCTGCTCTCAAACCTGTGAGTACAGGCAATCCTCTCGTCTCCACCTCCCAAAGTGCTGGTATCCCAGGATTACAGGCGCGAGCCACTGTGCCAGGTAAGAATTTCCTCTTTCAAGAAGAAACTTCTAAAAGACAGATTACCCTGCCTGAGAGGTGTGTGAGAAGGAAGGCCAAATCAAACAAACTTTCCAGGTGATACAGGTGGCAAATGCAGGCTGAATGCTGGCCGTGGACATAATCGTGCCATGTGCCCTCTTGTCAAATCAACACATGTCATGTGCTGGGAGCTCCTCCGAGCACCTTCTCTGGATGACTCGTGTAATCCTGACAGCAGCCCTTCAGGGTAGCTACCATCGGTGGCATTGCCAGCATGTGTGCCCAGCCAGAGGCTGTGCTCTTAACCACATTACTGCACTGTATCCAGCACTAGATAATGACTCTGGAAAACTGCTCCTTTGTTTATTTCAATTTTCTTATTGGCCTTGGAGCCTCTAGCAGTCCATTTAATAATTTAAGGACAGCTCCATTCATTGCTGAATGGCTTTAAAGTCTTTCAAAGGACATACGCCCACAAAAGTTAATAGAGGCTAAGAGCATCTACTGTTATCTTACAGTGCAAACGCTTGTTCCTATTGCTGTCACTGGTAATTATTACCATTCTCAGAGGACCCTGTTCACCAGGAGATGGCATCTGGGGATGCCTCACTAACCCTGAGGGCGAAGCTGGGCTCTGAGAATCAGAAGCAGCTGCAAGCGGTCTTATGCTTTACCAGGAATCTTCTAGACGAGCAGTCCCCAACTTTTTTGGCATCAGGGACCAGTTTCGTAGGGGACAATTTTTCCACGGCTAAGACGGCAGTTGGGGAAGGTGGAATCATCAGGCATTAGATTTTCAAAATGAGCCACAACCTAGATCCCTTGCATGCGCAGTTCACAGTAGATCCATGCCCCTATGAGATTCTAATGCCCCCACTGATCTGACAAAACATGGAGTCCTACTTACCTGCAGCTCACCTCCTGCTGTGCGGCTGCCTTCCTAAGCAGCCGAGGACCAGTACAGGTCTGCAGCCCAGGGGTGGGGACCCCTGTTCTAGCTCACCTCAAGTGACCTTAGAAGTATGTCTTCTGTGCTCTTTTCAAAATGGGGATTTGGTGGCAGGAAGATTGGCCCGTTAAAAAAGAAATCCAGCCGGATTCAGTGGCTCAGTCTGTCATCCCAGCACTTTAGGAGACCGAGGCGAGTGGATTGCCTGAGTCCACGGGTTCGAGACCAGCCCAGGCAACTTGGCAAGACCTTGTCTCTACAATAAACCAAAAATTAGCCAGGTGTGGTAGCGCACCTGTAGTTCTGGCTGCTTGGAAGACTGAAGCGGAAGGATCACCAAAGCCCAGCAGGTCAACACTGGGGTGGCCAGAAAAGCTACAATTAAAATTTTACTTATTTAGTTTTACTTAAAATATGTTTTTAACTGTGATACAACACACATAAGCACAAAACTTACCACCTGGGTCATTTTCAAGTATATAATTGGGTAGTGTCAAGTACAATAACGATGAGCCGCCAATCTCCAGAGTTCTTTTCTTCTTACAAACTGAAATGCTGTACTTATTAAACACTAACTCCTCATTTTCCCCTTCCAGCTTGGCAACCACCATTCTACTTTCTGGTTCTATGAACTTGACTATCCTAGGTCCTTCATATAAGTGGAATCTCACAGTATTTGCCTTTTTGTGACTGATATTTCATTTGGCATAAGGTCCACAGGGTTCATCCATGTTGTAGCATGTATCACAATTCCCTTCTTTTCTAAGGCTGAATAATATTCCATTGTATGTATATACCACGCTCTGTGTAATCATTCATCCACCAGTGGACTCGTGGATTGCTTCTGCCTTTTGGCTGTTGCAGATAATGCTGCTATGAACATGGATGGACAAATATCTCTTCAAAACCCTACCTGATAAGCTTCTTGAAGGATTTAGTAGATCTTTTTCTGCCTAATGTCCCAGCAGTGTTGGGCGGGGGAGAAACCCATCCTTCACATAGCTATTAATATGACAAGACTCAGAATAAGTTTGTGGCTTTAGTCTAAAAGAGTGAGACATTGTGGTTTGGCCTCGGCAGCCCAGGCCTGGGGCTCGTGGGTGTGGACAGGTCGGGCCTTGGAGAGACAAACACAAGCAGAATCCTACTATTCTCTGGGTAAAGAGGTCAGAGAATCAGGAGGATCCCAGAGCCTGGGGCTGAAGGGAACTCTTGATCTTGACATCCACACCTGTTTCTCCCTTAGTTTCCCCGGTAGCAACAAATGGAAACTCATGGCTCTTGTCGGAAACCTGGCTGTCAATTTCAGCATCTCACCCCTCGCTCTTCCTGTTCCAGCTGCCTCTAAGTCCTGCCAACTCTAGCTCACAAGTATTTTTTTTTTTTTGAGTTGGAGTCTCACTCTGTCGCCCAGACTGGAGTGCAGTGGCCGCTCCCGGCCACCGCAGCCTTGACCTGCTGGGCTCCGGCGATCCTTCCGCCTCAGCCTTCCAAGGAGCTGGAACTACAGGCGCGCGCTACCACGCCCGGCTCATTTTTTGATTTGTTGTAGAGATGAGGTCTCGCCTGCCCAGGCGGGTCTCGAACCCGCGGGCTCAGGCAATCCGCTCACCTCAGCCTCCCAAGGGTGAGGGATTACAAGTATTTCTTGATTATCGACTCTTCTCTATCATACCTTGATCCCCTCTCACCAGAAGCCCAGCAGCCTCCCAGGGTGTACCCCCTTTGCTTTCATCTCCCGCTAATCTACGCTCCCATAGCAGCCTGGGGAATCTTTTGGAAATGTCCGTCCAATTGTCTCACTCCTAGGCCAAAAGGGCTCATTAAGACACACTACGGGGAGAGGGGGCTTGCTAGAAGCCAAGATCTCACCTGTTCACAATTTACTGCTCACATGTACCCCACAACTCTAAAATTTAAATTGTTTAAATGTAAAAAAGGAATTTGCTGAAACCAAACCAAAACAAAACACTACGCTTAGAACAACGCTAAACTCCTCTACTGCAAAGCGTGCAGATCCCCCAAGTCCCTGTATGTCTCACACTGGAATGACCAGACTCCAGTCCTGTTGCCTTCCTCGGGTGGATCCAGGCACTGATCGCCTCCTCACCAGGACTGTGGCGTGGGTTGTTCCCTCTGTCTGGAATGCTCCTTCACACCCAAATCCTCCATGCTGAACTACTACTCGAGCCTAAATGACCCCTCTTCATAGAAGCCTTTTCTGACCATTCCGTCTACATTACAAATGCTCCTTGTCATTCTTTCTTGCAATATTCTTCCTTCGTGACACTCTTCACGATTTTTAAATTATATACTTTGGGGTGTGTTTACTGAGTATCTGTCTTTCCCACTAGACTGTGAGCTCCTTGAGGGTAAGACCATGTTTGTTTGCGAACTATTGTCCACCCAGCCCCGTACAGTATTTGATAATGCATGTAGACAATCCACAAATGTTTACTAATTGAATGAACTAACAAATGAGCAGATGAGTAAGAGCATGAAGTATTCTTCTGAGCCTGAAAAGTGACCTTGATGGGAAGCTCCCTAGACTTTCCATAAAAAGAGGAGGAGCCATCCCTTGACAGATTTGCTCACCAAAGCTGAACTCTGGTTCTCCACTCCAGGACTCCATTCACGGGGTCCTGTCTGTCCATCGGAGGCCTGTCCATTCTCCACTGCAGGAATGTTATTGCATTGCATTACCACATTATTAAGGATGACATGAAGGCAACCCCCTCGGGTCCCCTCCCACTGTGGGAGCTTTGCTGTCCTCTCAATAAATCCTGCTTTCTAAAAAAAAAAAGGATGTCATGATCTTTTCTGCTCCAACAGGCAAGAAGCCAGTGAGTCTCTATGCCGTCCATGATGGAGCCGTCCACACCATTCAGAGATCACCTTTTTACAACGACATTATTCTCACTGTTGGGGGGTGGAACGTGGCCATCTGGAAAGAAGGTGTCGTGGTAAGTTGCCTGCAAAATAGAGTGGGTGTGCAGTCCTTTGTTATTGAGAAAGACTATAGTAACAACAGCCTGTTCTGATATAACAGTGCCTTTGGGATGCTTTTTAGAGAAATTAGAACAGATGGCCAGGGCTCCAGCTTGTAGCAGAACCACTGTAAGCCTTTTGCAAACACACCCATTTGCTTTTCCTTCCTGAGGGAAAGAAACAATATGTACAAGTTTTCTTGTTCTCGTAAACCTACCAATCTTTTCTTTGGAATGTCTACTGTGGGCAGTTAACTCGACTTGTGTTTTCCCTCCCTTTAAAATACAAGATGGAGCCGGGCTCAGTGGCTCAGCCTGTAATCCCGCACCTTTGGGAGGCTGAGGTGAGTGGATTGCCTGAGCCCGCGGTTCGAGACCCGCCTGGGCAGCGAGACCTCATCTCTACAATAAATCAAAAAATCAGCCAGGTGTGGTAGTACATGCCTGTAATTCTGGCTACTTGGAAGGTGAGGCGGAAGGATCGCCGGAGCCCAGCAGGTCGAGGCTGCGATGGCCGGGAGCGGCCACTGCACTCCAGTCTGGGCGACCGAGTGAGACTCCAACTCAAAAAATAAAAAATAAAAAATAATAAAATACAAGATGAAACTGGGCGCGGTGGCTCATGCCTATAATCCCAGCACTTTGGGAGACCCGGACAGGAGGACTGCTTGAACCCAGGAGTTCAAGATCAGCCTAGGCAACATTGTGAGACCAAAAAAGATTAGCTGGGCATGGCAGCATGCACCTGTAGTTCCAGCTACTCAGGAGGCTGAAGCAGAAGGATCACCTGAGCCCAGGGGATCGAGGCTGCAGTTAGCCTTGATCATGCCACTGCACTCCAGCCTGGGGGACAAAGCGAGACTCTAACTCAAAAAATAATAATAAAATAAAACACAAGATGGAATGCTGGATTCTCTATGAAGTTCAAGGAGAAACACTGGCTCTGTCATCATTGCTTCTGCACCAGGAATACGTTGGCAGGTTCAGAGAGTGACTGAGTAAGCTGAGGGGTACATCACCAGGCAGATCCTAGCCTGTCTGTAGACATGCGTGGGTCCGAGTAGGGCAGCAGCCAGAGTCTGGTCAGGATTAGGAGAGGGGCTAGACCCAGGCAGATAGGATCTAAACTGCCAGAACTAGAAAGATCAATAAAATCCAGTGAAGCAAGGTGTGGGGAAAGGATTACTTTGAGTAGAAGTGTACATTGATACGCCCCTTGGGTGAGCAATTTAAGAAGATTAAGCTGAAATACACACACACACACACACACACACACACAACACATTCTTTTTTTTTATTTTTATTTTTTTGTCAGAGTCTCACTCTGTCGCCCAGGGTAGAGTGCAGTGGCACACTCACGGCCACCGCAGCCTCGACCTACTGGGTTTAGGCAATCCTTCTGCCTCAGCCTTCCAAGTAGCTGGAACCACAGGCACACACCACCACGCCCAGCTAATTTTTTTTTTTTTAATTTATCATAGAGTCAAGGTCTTGTCAAGTTGCCCAGGCTGGTCTCGAACTCCTGGGCCCAGGCAATCCTCTCACCTCAGCCCATATTCTTTAACCAATGGCTCTAACGTACACAATACTCAAAATCATGTATGTGAATATATGTACAAAGGTATCATTGAATGAAATGTAGAAACCACTTAAATGCCCATCAACAAAAGAACGTTTATACCAATGCACATTTGGATGTTTGGATTTTTTTTTTTATAATGAACAAGTTTTGTAGTTAAAGAAAAAGAATTTCAGGAAGATTGTCCAAAGACCAGGCAGGGGTCAGGAATCTGGTTATCCTTTGAAACTGAGGGTGCTGGGAGAAGGGAACCAGAACACGTTTGAAGTGCCATCTCTAAGGAGTCCATGAATGTGACATTCTTCTTTCCCCCAAGAAAGTGTCCTACGCATGTATTAGGAGGTGGGAGACAGTTCTGTGTTTCAGTTTAGTCCCTGAGGATGTCTGCGGATGAATGAGCACACAATGCCAGATGACGCCTTCAGTGAGTAGGAAAAGCACATTCTGATCTTCTCCTGTGAAAACCTCCAAGAGAAGGCAGATTTCTTCATGATAGAGAAAAAGCGAATCTGATCTCATGATGCTGCGGCATTCTAAAATATCTTCCAAATATATTGAGAAGCCTCTGAATGCTCCCAGCTGAAGTTGCTTAATGAGAATTTGCCAATTCTACTGTGGAGTGTCAGCATGCAGTGCACAGCTGGAGATGACAGACTTTTCATTTATTTTCCTGGCTACCAGACCTGTTTCCATGGGAAGTAGATTTATAGCAACATAAAGGTATAAGCAAAATTTCCTTATAATCTCTGCTTATTTAATGTCTACCAATCTCCACAGAAACAGTAATGGTTTTAGAACCAGTTGGGTCATGAGAACCATCAATAGCTCAAACGGAAGATCTGATCTTTTCTAAAAAGCAATGAATGTTTTAAAAAATGGTTTGCGAAAACAAACAGGAAAGAAAAGAGCTGGTGTCATATAAAAACCCTACGACAAGGAGACGTTAAAGACTTCCTAGTGGGCATAATTTGGCTGTTACATGATCATAGCCAGCTGAGTTGTACTTAAAGAAATCATTGGGAAGTTCCCTCAGTAATAACAAAATCTTTTCATTTGTCTTTTTAAAAATTCGTTTAAAGACTGGACCCCTCCTTCAATCATGCTGTGCGCCAAAAAGGTACACCTCGGGGCACTGGTCCCTGACACGGCCTGGAGTTTTCTACATTGGCCGAGAAGATGGATATATCGATATCTGGGACCTTCTGGAGAAAACCCACGAACCAGCCCAGTCACAAAACATTTGCATAACAATGATCACCTACATCAAACCCCAGACCTTTTCTTGTAAGTTAATTCTGATCAGTTGAGCTAAGTCATTTTGGGCAACGCTGAGGCGCTTTGACCTTCATCTGGAAAGTCTCCAGTGGTTTTTCTCAGAGTTTTGTGTTCTTCCCACCCCCTCACTTCTCATTCCTTTCCCTTCATTTCTTTTTCCTTCCCTTCTCTTCTCCTCTCTTCCCTTTCCTTCCCAGCATTCCCCTTCCCTGCCCTTTTCTCTGGCCCTCAAATCTTGGACACAACCCGAGCTCCTCTCACTGTGTTTCTCTGTCAAGAATGAGTTCCGAGACACGGTGAGCGTGTCAAGCACTGGCTGATAGATAGGGTCACACAATGGAAATCCTCCTTCTCACCTTCTCCAGGTCAGACAGGGTGAGCCCTAAATCTTCTCTGCCTTTTGCAGCTTCTTTTCCAGACAGAATACATTTTTTGGTTTTAACTTTTCGTTATAAATCATATTGTTCAATATTAAATCACTTTTATGGTTCTCCCCCAGACAGTATTGAACAAGTCTCTTCATGAGGTCAAACAATTCTATTTAAGTGATAACCTTTAAGTCAATTACAGGATAAAGCAATGTATTTTTTTTTTAAAAAGCATAAATTCAAGCATGTGCCTAAAGAAAAGTGATTTATGTCCTTTGTTCCAATTTTCCTGTTTCACCCAAGCACTTATCTTGAGTCAGACTCACTCTGTCGCCCAGACTGGAGGGTAGTGGCCCAATCACTACAGGAACTTGTCACCGTGCCCGGCTAATTTAAAATATATATATTATATATATTTGTTTATTATTTTTTTGTAGAGGCAAAGTCTCACTATGTCGCCTAGGCTGGTCTCGAACTCCTGGACTCAAGCAATCCTCTCTCCTCAGCCTCCCAAAGTGCTGTGATTACAGGAGTGAGCCACGGCACCCAACCTCAAGGAGCACTTTTTACATAAACTCAATACATTTGTCTCTTTCCAAAACAGTCTCCCTTTGTTTCCAAAGGTGTGCAGGCATAAAATGATCTTTTTATCCATTTCTCTAGAGCTCAGAAACACACAAGTGTCACAGGTTGTTCCTACTCAGCAATATGTATCACCAAAGTGTGTATCCCCATCTTTGGGACAGAACATTGCTTTTGTACACCTTCAGGGATTATGAGTCCAGGATTTAGAAATTTGAACCAGACCTCCTGAAAATGAGAAAGGAAAAAAAAAAAAACCCACCCTGATGAGACAGAAAATGTAAATCCTCAAACACTTTGTGTATTATACCTATTTTAAATGCTCAAAGGAAGCAATTTGTTTTCCTAATAAGAACTGTGGTTCTGGCTATGTCTTTAAAATTCTTCTGGATCACAGCACCTGTCAGCCCTTACTGTGTCTGGTGAAATTGTACTTCATGACTTTGCTTTGAAAATCTTTCCCTGTGCTGTTGCTGCTGTCTTCTTAAGTCTCTCAGGGGGCCCAACCACAGAGCGAGCAGGCCAACCTCAGCTGGGCGCCCCGCTCCTGTAGGCCCCAGAAAAGCAAGATCCAGGCAGCAGGGTGGCTGACAGAGGCCCAGAGTCTTAGCTTTCATTTTATCAACTGGAAAAAATGACTTTCACATGTTTCTATGGGCCAGCCAGGAGCTTCCGATGGAAATGCCAAGACCACTGTAACCACTTGGTCCTTCGGGTAACCACAGAACAAAAACACATTTCATGTTTAACCTCTTGAGATGGCTTTCTGTTGGCTGAATTTCCCCCTCCACCCTTTTTTTTTATCCTTCAGCTAAGCAACAATTTATAGCCGTAGCTGATTATTATGGAACACTGCATATATTAGAAATTCCTTGGACGTTAAGCCACCCTTCTACCAATGAGGTGAGTAACTTTTGGCTTTGAGGATTCGGTGACCCGATATTGCTGGGGCATATCTCAAAGGTGTGTTAGAAATGACAGCATTTTTGCTCTATAAGGGAACAAAAGACTCATGTGGACAAAAATAAGAGGGTGTATTTCTGTTGTATGAGTTCAGTAGTTTGAAGCTCAAAAATAAAAAATAAAGCCAAACATGAGGGGGAGGGAAGCCAAGTCAATGAAGTCCAGATTCTGAAGGAATAATTGATTTGGGGATTCATAATCATAAAATGTTTTTTTCCAGATATAAGTGTGGGAGGTTTGGTTCCATGATACTCTTTCCCTGGGGGCCCAGTTGACATTTGTATGCACCTCCCCACCATCCACCCACCACTTCCTCCCCCAACTTGGTGTATTGCAGGCAGTACATTGGCACACACCCCACCCTATACCCACCACCTGTGTTTCAAACAATGTTAATAATGAGGTTTTGAGAAGATCAATGGGGCTGGGCGTGGTGGCTCACGCCTGTAATTCCAGCACTTTGGGAGGCCAAGGAGGGAGGATTGTTTGAGCCCAGGAGTTCTAGATCAGACTGGGCAACATATCAGGACCTCATCTCTACAAAAAAATCAAAAGAGTCGCTGGGCATGGTGGTGCATGTCTTTTGTCCCAGCTACTCAGGAGGCTGAGGCAAGAGGATCGCTTGAGCCTAGGAGTTGAAGACAATAGTGAGCCTAGATTATGCCACTGCCCTCTAGCCTGGACAAGAAAGCGAGATTCCAATTTAAACAACAACAACAACAACAAAAATTCAGTGAAAAGAACTTCAGAAATATATATACAATGAACAGTAAATAAATAGGCTGCAATCTGCTGTAAGTTCCAACAATATCAGCCTAGTGACTGGCAGGCAAAAAGCTTTCTCTTCCCTGGTTACCTTCCCTGAGATCTCTGCTGACTTTCCTGCTTCTGTTATTATCCCTACGAGCTTAGTCCTCTAGGGAACTAGGAACTCAACTCAGTTCTGCTTCAATCTCCTTTAGGGTCTTTATTGATATCCTCATCTGGGTTTTCCACGTTTGGTTGATGATATAAAACCTCCTGCAGTCTCAGAAGTGAGAAGGAAGAAAAGGGGGAGAAAAGCAATTCCTGGCCAGGCGCAGTGGCTCACGCCTATAATCCCAGCACTTTGGGAGGCCAAGGTGAGGGGATTGCCTGAGCCCACGGGTTCGAGACCAGCCTGGGCAACTTGGCGAGACCTCATCTCTACAATAAATCACCAAAAATTAGATGGGTGTTATGGCACATGCCTGTTGTTCCAGCTACTTGGACAGTTGAGACAGAAGAATCACCTGAGCCCAGCAGGTCGAGGCTACGGTGGCCGTGAGCCTGCCACTGCACTCCAGCCTGGGCAACAGAGTGAGACTGTAGCCCCCTGAATTGAGCTAGCTCCTCTGGTAGTGGGTCTGTGGGCACAATTTCTAAATTATATTCACCTAAAAGATTTGAGGTATCTCAAAGTAGATCATGGACATGAAGGCTAGGTAGATGATCACTAGGTAATGATCACACAGAGCAGGGAGGCAGATTAGGTAGGAATCTGCCCACTTACAAGCTGCAGGAATTCTAACAGAGGCTTGCGAAGGATGTAGGGGCTTCTTGTGGATTACCTCTCAGGAGCCTCTGTTTCTAACAGGTATCAAGTGTTAACCACTACTTTGAAAGAGAAGTAAAGCATCTGGAATACGTACTACAGCGCAAGATGATACGTGAGAAAGAAAAGAAAGAAATGGAGCTGGAAATGGAGAAGAAAAAAGTTGTAAGTTAAATTTCAGAAATGAAGTCTGCTTTCCTCTAGCAGCAGCGGAATTGTGTGTGTTTGGTTTATTCCACAGTTGCCATAGGGAAGCTAGACCTTTACACATTCTTCTCTCGTTCTCATGAGAGTCAAGAAGGCACTTCTCTGATTTCCTAGCTGACTATGAGTGAGAACTGCCAGCTGGACACGAAAAGAGATTCTGACCAATTGAAGTTTCTGAAATTTTCTATCATTACAATGCCCTTTACATAGACACAATGATTCCAAATGTGAGTGCTTTCATTAGACAGAGTCTTAACATCTGATGAATAATGCATTAAAACAGACATGGGGAAAAGGAGCTGAATACAGAATCCAGGCAGCTGGGCTCAAATCCCAACCCCGCCACTTGCTAGCCATGAGATCTGAGCGAGGCTTTCATCTCTGCCGACTCTGCCGAGTTATCTCATCATGAGCAAGATAACTAATAATTACCTTTTAAGATTACTGTAAGGCTTTCAGTTAAATAACCTGACAAATAGTAAACTTTCAGTCAATGGGAGTCGTTATAACTGTATCGATGGATGGATGGATGGATGGATGGATGGATAGATAGATAGATAGATAGATACATAGATAGATAGATAGATAGACAGATAGATAGATAGATATAGATAGCCAGGCACAGTGGTTCATGCTTGTAATCCCAGCACAAGAGGATTACCTGAGCCCAGGGGTTAGAAATCAGCCTGAGCAACTTGGCAAGACCTCGTCTCTACAATAAATAAATTTTAAAAATTACCTGGGTATGGTGGTACACACCTGTAGTTCCAGCTACTTGGAAAGCTGAGGTGGAAGGATCATCCGAGCCTAGCAGATCGAGGCTGCAGTAGCTGTAAACTTGCCACTGCACTCCAACCTGGGTGACAGAGTAAGACTCCAATTATTAAAAAAAAAAGATAGAAGATGATAGATCGATACATAGATAGAGATATAAATAGAAGATAGATAGATGGATAGATGGATGATTGATAGATATGCTGCATATGAGAAAGAGAGAGACAGAAACAGAAAGAGAGATGAATGTTGCTATATATACGATGTCTTGGCACTGTGAAGCTTGAAACAGAAGAGCTTGGTACAGGATACATCCATTCTAAGCTCTGCTAAAAAGGAACCTAAGCTCCACAGCCCTCGCCTTCCTCTTGCTCAGCCTGTCCCTGTGTGGTATGAACTCTGCACCTCCGACGGGCTTCCCTTCCCCCCAGATTTGGGGCTTTTAAACATTCTGTGAATTTGGCTCGACTCTCCCTCTCACTTGAGGTTATTTCAGTCTATATTTCTTCTTCTCTCTTGCTCGTTCTCTCCCACTCACTTGTCACCAGCAGTGTCATACTTGACCCCATGTGGAAGTTCCTTATTGTCAATTCCATCCTCCAACATAACTATTCATGCAAAACCCTCAGACTCAATTAAAAGAACCGGGATGTGGAGCTATTTTAACATACTGCATTAGCACATAGGTTAACATCATCACATATTGACAGGTACCGGTTAATGCAATAAAAGCAGAGGATCTCACTTCAGAAACACTGTTTAGTAATGACAAGCATAAAAAACAATGCCTCTATCTATCTATCTATCCATCCTAATTAGCTTTATCAGTGGGAGCAAGTATAATTATAGGGAATCCCAAAATAATTTGCATGTGAAATACTTTTTAAGCACCTGAATGTTATAATAATCATATCTTAAAACTGCGTTTTTTAGTTTCCAAAACTTTTCCAGCTTCTTGTACCTTCACTTCCATTTGACGTAGTACCCTCTCTTAAGCAGAGTTACCACTTCTCCAATTTTCTCTGGAACTAGATTGTGGGTAGATATGTGAATGAATGCTCACGTTTCCTCTATTACACTGAGAACATGCAAAAGTTCACTAAGGAAAAACAATTAATGTTAGTCAGAAATGTCTCCTGCTAAGCAACTGCTGATAACAAGGGGCACAGAAACAAAAACTGTCACAGCCTCAGAGGATTGCAGGGGGGATTACATGAGTTAAAATGCAGATGACCCTGAGCCAGTAACTGGCACACAGAAAGTGCTGGGACGTGTTCACTGTTCGTGTTAGTACAGAGGTCAGGGAACGCTCGCACATGCGTCCAGCGAGGCTGGTCTTTGTGAGCTCCCAGCAGGCACCAGGGTGAGGCCCTATGCCTCAACCTAGATTCCAGGAAAGTTGCACCCCGTCTCTTTGCAAACATCAAGTCTGGATACAGCTCACTCCTTAAGGCATAATAGCCATTATAGCTCTAATAGCATATGAAATAGAAATTTTCCTAATGGGAATTGCAGCTGGAGACCCACACTAGGGAAAGCAGCACTGCTGTGTGACCCACGAGCTCTGCCATCTAAGTGGGACTTGGGCGGGGGAGTGTCAAAAGAATTCTGCAGCTTTCAGGTGATCACTCACCCTCCAGACTCCATAGGGAGGCGAGAGGCATGGTGCAGAAGACTGGAAGAGGGGATTTTTTTTTTTTTTTTTTAAGAGAGAAGGCTTGGAGGGCCATGTCCTCCCCACCCCCCTCCCTCCCCTTCCAGCTGGGTCAACTGTTCACGACTTCTCATCCTTGGGTGTTTTTTTCATCAGCGTTATATAGGGATGTTTTGCTTTTGTTTGTTTCCTCTAGAAAACGTATCAGAAGTCAAAAGAACAAATGGAGGCTGAAATGAGAATGGACTACGAGAGTTATTTGGAACTGGAAAGAAGTGTCCTCATCAATCTTGGCCTAATCAAAGTCACAGAGATGCTGTCATACATGGACATGATGTAGAAAGGATTCCTTGAGGGGTGTTTTGAAGGCTTTGTGGAACTTTCCTCTTTTGATGTAGTGTTTCTAAGTAAGGTTAACTAGCAAACAAAATACATAGGCTTATTTACAAATATAGGCTTTTATTTCACTGCTATTAAAACTTCTGAACTGTGCTTGTTTCGGCAACACGTATACTAAAAGTGGAACTGATACAGAGAAGATTAGCATGGCCCCTGCACAAGGATGACACGCAAAATTCGTGAAGTGTTCCATATTTTTTAAAAAACTTTTGAACTATAACAATAGGATCTATTTTCATTTTTATACTGAATATGTACTGAATTTTGTACTGAATACAAACGTTTTCAGCAGCAAAATTATTTTCCTATTGTAATAGAGAACTTTGGGCATTTCCTCCACCACAGTCCTTCTGTCCACGCAGAGACCCAAATCCCAGGCAGCAGGGGAATCAAACTTCACTCCTGCTTGTCAGCTTGTTTCTGCCTACCTCTCCAAAGAGTGCCTCCCCGGGGCCACCGCACAAATTGTAGGGCCATGCGCTAACCAAAATTTGCTAACAGCAAATCCAATTCAGAAATAGGCATATTTTTAAAAGTACAGCACATGAAGACCAAGTTGAGTTTATCCAGGAAATAGGTTAATTTAGCAGTAGAAAATAGGCCAAGTTCAGTGGCTCATGCCTGTAATCCCAGCACTTTGGGAGGCCAAGGCAGGAGGATCACTTGAAGCTAGGAGTTCAAAATCAGCCTGGGCAACATAGTGAGACCCTCATCTCTCCAAAAAATGATTTTTAAAAATTAGTCAGGCGTGGTAGCATATGCCTGTATTCCCAGCTACTTGAGAGGATCGCTTGAGCCCAGGATGTCAAGGCTGCGGGGAGCTGTGATCATGTCATTGCACTCCAGCCTGGGCAACCGAGTGAGACCCTGTCTTTAATAGTAAAAAGAAGTGGGAAATAAATCAGTGACTGATTAAAGGAGAGAAATTATGATGCCCAATAGAAGCAGAAAAACACTGTATAAAATTCAACATCCGTTGATGGTAACAACAACAACCAATTCTTAGCACCTACAAAAAGAACTTCCTTAACCTAATGAAGAGCATGAAAACAATACCACGGCTGACACATCGTACCTAATGGTGAAAAGTGAAAGCTTTCTTCTGAGATGTGGACCATAGGGTCCTTTAGTCAGTGTGGGGGTTTAACGCACAGGCACAAAAAGACAGCAACAGCACGTGAAACTAGCCACATTGCAGACCAGCTTGGGGCCAGATGACAAAGGCCCCCAAAAAACAAGCTAAGGAAGCTGGATTATGGTTTACGGGCACGACAAGGGAGGTTGAAAAGGAAGATGACAGGAGGGGCTTCATTTCGGAAGATAAGGAATGGATTTGAGTGGGGAGAGTCTGATGGCAGGAATCCTATTAGGAGGCGGTAGTCATAGCTCATGGTTAAGCTTTGGGATGCTCTGTCCTAAATCTGAGTGTGAATATGGAAACGAATGGCTGACTGGATGGGGACGGAGAGCCAAGGGACGTGGCCAAGGTTTCTAAGTTAGGTTGCTAGGGGAAAGAAAGCTTTGAGGGCAGAGAGCTGTTAGCGCTTAGCACCTGTGTACCCTTGGGCAGACAACCAGCTCTGTAAAGCGGGTTCACCTTCCATCAAGCGAGGCTGAGAGTGCTGAGAACTGGCCTTGGAGCACCCTTACAATGGGCAAGTGAGCTCCTGCGTATGAGGGGCCGGTGCCCAGTACGATTATCCCTGTGGCTGGCGTGTCCCAGGGCTCATCGGAGCACCTGAACTAACTTCCTTCTTTCCTCCCTCCCTCCCTTCCTTCCTTCCTTCCTTCCTCTCTTTCTCCTTTCCTTTCTCTCTCCTTCTCTCTCCTCTCTCCCTCCCCACCCCCCCATGTCTTAAGTGAATTCAAAGAGTCCCCTGGCTTTGAAAACTACCTATGTCCCCCGCCTGGACTTCTCCCATAAAGTCAAGAGGCAGGTATCCACTTACATCTCTGCTTGGATGTTGAACGGGCAATTCAGATGGAAGCATGCCCAAAATGAAGTGCACGATTTTCCCTCCAACGCTCACCCTCCGCCAGTCCTCCCAGCCACTGTGTTTCCAGCTGCTCCTGGAAAAAACCTTGAAGCCATCCTCCACCCTCTTTCCCTCCCAATCCATGTCTAATCTGTCAGCAAACCCTGCCGACTACCCACTCAGAACACGTCCCACATCTGATCCCGACTCTTCCTCACGGCCGCCACCGTGGTCCAAGCACCATCATCCCCAGGTTGGAATCCGCCATGGCCTCCTATTCTGTCTCCTATCCTCTCATAGCCGCCTTTAGTCTCTCTCAATCACAGTCAGATGGCGGTTTTAAAGTCAAGGCTGGGCATGGTGGCTCACGCCTATAATCCCAACACTTGGGGAGGCCGAGGATTGCTTGAGCCTAGAGGTTCGAGACTAGTCTGGGCAACACAGTGAGACCCGTTTCTACAAAAGCAAAAAAAAAAAAAAGAAATTTAAATTAGACAGAGGTGGTGGTGCATGCCTATTGTCCCAGCTACTTGGGAGGCAAAGGCGGAAAGATCCCTTGAGCCCAGGAGGAGAAGGCTGCAGTGAGGGACTGTGCCACTGCACTCCAGCCCGGACGACAGAGTGAGACTCCAAGTCCATCAGTCAATCAATCAATAGGTCAGACACGGTCATTCTTCTGCCCTGAGTCCTTCGTCAGCTTCCTAGCACAAGCCTAGGCCTTTCCACGCCCTGCAGGCCCCCAGGTGGGCCAGTTCTCCTTGACACCTGGCTCGTCCCTCAACCCCTGCCTCCCCCACACCCACCCTAGTCACGCGGGCCTCCTGCAAGTCACCAGAGTCCCGTCCTTGGGCATCTGTCCTTGCTGTCCTGTACTTTCTCCAAAGATTTGCCTCATTTTATGGTCATGAGTTCACTTTAAAGCTATTGAGTGCCCACCAGGCGCCTAGTTCTGCCGTTTTAAACAGGCAGTCAGGGAAGGTGACACTTGCACCAAGGCCTGGAGGGAATTCTTAGTCCTCTAGTCTAGCACTTGTGCAAGTGTGTTCCATAACCCAGTCCCCCGCCCCTCAGTGCAAAAGAAGCTGGGACTGCAGAGAACAGGCGTGTCATGACCGCGTCACACAAGCCCACACCGGGGCCCGGCACATTGTTGTCTCAAACAAAAGTAGGGTGTTGTTGGCATAGGAGACTGGAGTAATGGATATTGAATAAGCGTCTGCCTTAGGGTCAGCCAAGAAAGAGCTTCGCATAATGGCTGGCACATAGCAAGCAGTAAATATGTTTTGCCATTATTTTGCCTGATTTACAGACACAAAAGGATTGTAACATGCTGGCTGCAGAAACTCAACATGGTGCCCCTCGTGCTCCTGAATGCGGTCATTACTAGTTCAGTATGTTATGTTTGTTTTTGTTTTCGTTTTTGTTTTTGTTGAGACAAGGTCTCGCTGTGTTGTCCAGACTGGCCTCAAACTCCTGGCCTCCCGCCGCAGCCTCCCAAAGTGCTAGGATTACAGGCATGAGCCACCATACTCGGCCTTTTCTTTTTTTTTAAGTCAGAGTCTTACTCTATTGTCCAGCCTGGAGTGCAGTGGCCTCAACCTTCTAGGCTCAGGTATTCTTCCAAGTAGCTGGAAATACAGGCTCGTGTTACCATACCTGGCTAATTTTTTATAATTTATTGTAGAGACAAGGTCTCACCAAGTTGCCCTGGCTGGCCTCAAACTCCTAGGCTCAGGCAATCCTCTTTCCTCTGCCTCCCAAAGTGCTAAGATCACAGGGTGTGTGCCACTGTGCCTGGCCTGTGGGGTTTTTTTTTGTTTTGTTTTGTTTTGAGTCAGAGTCTCACTCTGTCACCCAAGCTGGAGTTCTGCTGCATGCTCCCAGTCACCGCAGCCTTGACCTGCTGGGCTCAGGCAATCCTCCCTCCTCAGCCTCCCAAGTAGCTGGAACCACAGACCAGTATGATATTTGAATTGTGCATTTACAATCTCAGGTTTTCCAGGTCTCATCACCTCCCCAGCAGAGGCCACAAACACCACCGTAGCCCAAGTTCCATGGGATCTCATCAGGTGTCCCAGCCTCCTGAAAAGTAGCTCAAGGATGTCCAGCCATCCCTGGGATGAAAGTGGCATCACATAAGTTAGAAAACAAGCTCACAACCACCAGGCACTCAAGACACCCTTCTCTCAAGCTGATGGAGTTGCCTGATGACCTGTGACATGGGGAAGGGTGCTGGGACGAGACTTCTGGGTGAGGTCAAGTCCAACAAGAAGCAAACACCAAGGCAGGAGCAGAATGTACCAAAGATTCACAGGGGGAGAGCCGGGGGCACAAGGGAGAGCCTTCAGACCTCAGTGCAGGTCCGGTACCTGTAGAAGGAGAGAGGAAAGGAATGAGAACAGGGAGGGTGACTCTCAGGCCACTCAACGCTGTTTGATTATACGTGATGGTTCCCTTTGACACTAGACTTTGAAACTTTTTTTTTTTTTTGAGTCGTAG